TCTCAACTTCTATGTTCAAGTCACCTTAATATCCTGAGTATTGCATTCATGCGATTTCATGCTGTTTTATGTTAGCCTTACTTCAAACTCAGAGCTTCATCTTTTCAAAAAGTGAAACATCAAACAAGAAGGAAGATGAGGCCTCAATTATGTACAAACGGGTTCGTCGATTAACGAATCATTGTTGGCTATGGCTTACGCCAATGACTGTCTTTGTTCAAATAAATTGTCTCTTGTATTTTTCTATCATGATAAAGCTTTGAAACGAGTTTTGAGACATTTATAATGGCAAGTATTATATTTCTAAACAAGAATGCAGAAATGTGCCGGGAACCAATATGGAGCATGCAATGAAAAAGAGGAACTTATTCTTGAGTTTGTGACAGCCTACAACCTAGCACTGGTTAGCAAGTAATATGTCAAGAGCGTGACCACTTATTTACATATTCAAGTGGATCATACCCAAATTAGCTGCCGGGCAGTGCGTTTCATTACCTAAGGAAAATAAAGGGTTGCAAAGTTACATTAGGTGAAAGCTGCATATCTCAGCATAAGCAATCACTTCCAGACTTGGATTTCCGGTTGAAAGGCAAAGAAAACCAATGATCAGCGACAAGGTACGAGTCAAGTGGAGAAAGTTGAAGGAAAATCCTTTAATTAAAATGCTCTGGTAAGTACTCCAACCTTAAAGTATTAAGTATTGGGTAGTAAGAAATTTACTGGGTCATACGAAGCAGAATAAAGAATTGATGAATATTTAGTGGTGGAAAGACGATGTCCAAACGATGATGACGGAAAAGAGCAACGCGACAGATTCGCGAGAAGGAGGGCAAAGTACGCAAAAGATATAGAAGATTTCTATCATATCAAATACATGCTTTAGAAAACGCTAAGTAGATCACAGGAGGTAACCGAGAGATGGCGATGGCGGACGTATTTAGAAGAAATGTAGTAAATACCAGCACTGAAATAGACTTTCATCAGCTGAGCCTGTGAAAGACCATTTAAT